ATGTGGACAAAGCATCTCTGAAGAAGAAATGATTGAAAAAACTCTCTCTACATTTTCTCCTATATCTGGTGTATTTGTACAACAAAATAGGAATATGAAATTTCAGAGTCATTCTAATCTCATGTCCTATCTACTTCTTGTGGAGAAGCAAAATGAGCTACTCTTGGGCAATGTAGAAGCTCATCCTATTAGAACTACAAGTCCAAAATCTCATGAACTTAATATTTTAAAATCTAAGAAAAAATTATATAAACATGAAAAACGTGCTTATAAGTATGAAGGTAGTCATAGTCATGACCATTTCTACCCATATGGAAAGAATAAATGTTCTACTATTAATTATAATAGAAAACAAAAATCAGAGATGCATTCTTGCCATAAGTGTGGAATGATTGGACATTTAGAACATGCGTGCCGTACTTCAGAATATTTTATTAAAATGTTCCAAGAAAATAAGAAACTACGAGCTGAGGCTCGTGAAGTTCATACCATGGATGCATCCATAGATTCAATTGGTGTTGATGACTTAGAAGCTTATATGAATGACAAAACCTCTAATGATGAATCAAATGATGCGTTCATTGATTCTGCAACAACACATACTATCTTGCGAGATAAACAATTTTTTATTAAAAAATCTTCAACTTCGCAAACTAAAAATATGATGACCATGGCTGGAACAAATGTGTTTTGTTTCTAAGAGGGCACATCGATGGTAAAATTATCTGCGGATTCTATCATAAAATGTAAACATGCGATGTTTGCACTCTCAACACCTCAGAGTCTGATTAACTATCGAGATGTGCATATTAATGGTTATCACCTCTCCATCGCCATTTTTAAATAGAAAAGAGGTTTTGGTTTGCAAAGAACCATAAAGTTGTTGAAAAAGATTTTGTTATATAAAATGGTTTATACCGAATTGTGATCTGGCCTCTTAATATATTTAATTTTGTATCATCTATAACAGAGAGTCGTGTTTCTCTCTGGCATGGACGATTGGAACATCCAGGATCCACATTATTTAGAAAGATCATTCCATGTATAACTGGGCACAATTTAAAGCGTGCGGATGTAGACTCTATGAAATTATGTCGTGCATACATGCAAGGTAAAATGATTACTTGGCCTTCAATTTAGAAACTTCCACAAGAATTACCACCAATGCTTGAAAGATTGCATGGTGATATTTGTGGTCCTATTAATCCAATATCAAGACCATTTTGTTATTTTTTGGTCTTTGTTGATGCATTAGGTAAACAATCACATATTTCATTATTATCAACTCGAAACATGGTGTTTGACAATCTTATATCTATGCTTATTCATTTTCGGGTACATTTTCTTGATTATCTTATAAAAACATTGCGTATGGATAATGCAAAAGAATTTGCATCAAAATCTTTTGAAGACTATTATAGTGTAACAAGAATCAAGTTGACATATTGTGTTCCATATGAACATACTCAAAATAGATTTGCAGAGTCATTTATAAATCGTATACAATTCATTACCCGACCACTCCTCCTTCACGTAAATTTATTTGCATTTATGTGGGGTCATGCAGTTTTACATGGTGTAGCATTAATACGCCTCCGCCCTTCTTCTCTTGAAATTGTTTCACTACATGAGCTCATTTTCGATCGTGTTCCAAATGTATCTCACTTACGAATATTTGGTTGCCGTACTTGGATTCAAGTACCAGAACCTCAATGACATACCATTGGAGCTCATCGACAAGAAGGCATATATGTTGGTTTTGATTCACCAAAATTATTCATATTGTTGATCCATCAACTGACACATTATTAAGTGCATGCTTCAAAATTGCCGTTTTGAAGAAAATATATTTCCATCTCTTCAAGGAGGAGTATCCGATCAACAAAGAAATAAAGTACTCATATTTGAAGCACCAAAAATGTTTACAATGAATCTCGATCCTACAACATCTTTGGCAAAAATTGAAGTTGCTAAGATTTTGTATCTAAAACGGATGGCAGATGAAACACATAATGGCTTCAATGATGTACCTAAAATTACAAGAATTCCTATTAATGAGGCTCAGAATGCACCTGCTGAGATTGCAGTGCCATTGACTACAATACCTCAAGTTATAATAACAACAACTAAAAGAACTCGTGGACCAGATAAGCAACCACATAAGTAGAAAGCTATAAAATTGACTAATCTTGGTATTATTTTTCAAGAAATTGCCACTCATCTTGCGGGACTACCAATTCATGATGATATATCCATACATAATGTACCTTCAATTCCTATGAAAAACAATCTTCGAATTGGAAGGAATAAGAACAAGTTGAGTAAGAATTATCTATTTTGTATTCTACTACAGATGATATTTGGGACAGACCATCTATTACGGTAGCTGAATCATTCGCATATATGATTATAGAAGCCCTTTCTTGCGAGGAAGACGATCTTAAATCTCAAACCATCAAGGAGGCGATGCGTCGCTCTGATTATTCAAAATAAAAAATTGCTATTGAGGAAGAGTATGCCTCTTTACGTAAGACAAAAGTCTTTGGTCCTATTGTAGACACTCTTACATCTCGCCTTATAGGATATAAGATGATATTAATATGCAAGCGAGATGCTCAAGGCCAAATAACCTATTATAAAGCTCATCTTGTTGCTCAAGGATTTACTCAACGATTTGGCATTGATTATGAATTCACATATTTTCTAATCATGGATTCAATTACATTTTGATATATTATTGGAATGATAGTTCATGCCACCCTTGAGATGCATCTAATGGATGTAGTAACTACATATCTATATGGTTCTCTTGATGCAAATATTTATATGAAAGTTCCACCTGGCTTAGAACATGAACTCTAAATCGACACGCTCTAGGACAATATCGTGGTATTAAATTATGTAAAGCCTTGTATAATTTAAAATAATCCGGACGCATGTGGTATCAATATCTTTAAACTTATTTAATTACAAATAATTTTATAAGTGATCTACTAATCCCTTGTTTGTTTATCAAACAAGATAAAACTGGTTTTGTGATCATCGTTGTATATGTTAATGATCTTAACCTAGTGGACACTACATCTGCATGTATTACAGCTATTAACCTACTTATATGTGAATTTGAGATGAAAATTCTAGGAAAAATAACTTTTTGCATTGGTCTTCAGATTATGCATGTAACAGATGGTAGCATTTTTATCTATCAATTAACTTATATTAGATGAATCTTTCAAAGATTTAATATGATTGATGCTTATTCATTGTTCACACCAATGGTTGGACATGATCGTGATAGTCATGATCCATACCATCCATGAGAGGAGGAGGAAGAAATATTGGGAGATCAATATCCATACCTCATAGCGGTTGGAGCACTTTTGTATTTAGCTACATCTATAAGATTAGATATTGCATTTGCAGTTAGTGTTCTTGCAAGACATAGTGCACGTCCAACACTACAACATTGGAATGACATCAAACATTTATTACGTCATTTAAAAGGTAGTAAAGACTTGGGATTATACTACACACAATCCGCAGATCCAAAATTGGTTGGATATTGTGATGCAAGATATAAATCTGATACTGCAATAGCTAAATCTCAAATAAGATATATATTTTTAAGACATAGAACTACAATATTATGGAAATCAATGAAACAAACAATAATTGTAATTTCATCTAACCATGCAAAAATTATTGCCTTACATGAAGCAACTCAAAAATGTATTTGGTTGCGATCAATTGATAAATTCATTCAAATAACATGTGGATTTTTATATGATGATTCTCCAACTATCTTGCATGATGATAACAGTGCTTGTATTGCACAAATGTAAGTTGGTTTTATTAAAGGCAACAAGACAAAGCATATTGATCCAAAGTATTTTAATTATACCCATAACTTGATTATTGATCAAGCACTTATAATTAAGAAAATTGAATCTACAAATAACCTTGCTGAACTCTTCACCAAAGCTCTCCCATTGTGCAACCATTGTCGACTTACTTATGGCATTGGTATGCAGTGAGTTGCTTTTCTTGAATAAGAAAGTTAATGAGCTCTTTAAATAATTAAAGAAAATGATGTACTCTTTTTTCTTCATCTATGGTTTTGTCCTTAAATACAATAAGGTTTTTCTAAATAAGGTTTTAATAAGGCAACAATTTTTGATCTTGCAAGATCAAAGAAAAGTATAGATCATAATTCTACACAAAATTTATATTATATAAATATTATGATGAGCGAGGAGGAGTGTTGAGATCATTAAATGTAGCCAGTGTTTTCCATAATATTTATTGTAAACTACAATAAATACTATAGCTACAGTATTTAGAATCTAGTGGAGAAGTACTATTTATCCTCTTCCTTTTTTTCTTCTTGTATACAAGACACAATCAGATCAATAAATTTTTTATGTATGAAGCTCTCTCTCCTTAGAAACCCTCTTGTGTGTATGACTTACTACTACTACTCTTGTGTATGTGTATATTACTTACTATTACTCTTATGTCTTTCTAAACATTCTCAACACTTCATACATCATTTCATTCTGCAATATCATAGAGAACCCCGAAATGCTCATTTTCAAATTAGCCCCAGTTGGTGAACTCAACAAAAAACTCACATTTTCAATATCTACTTTTACATGAAGCACTGATTCCCAATCATTACTTGATTATTCTAGTAATGCGTTTGAAACATCAAGCTTCAAGGACAGAAACTTGGAGTTTGTGAAGATTGCATGTACAACAATTCAGAGTTTTAAGAGAGAATTTTCTCATTCTTTGTGTTTCTCATGCTAGTATCTTGTCTACGTCTCTATATGCTGCAGTACCCTATCAACTTGACATGCTGTGTTGGCATGAAGTACTGTCCAAATCATCCGTAGCAAACCGTTTTATACCATGTTCTAAGCGGAACTAAATCTTGTCCACAACGGCAGCTGCAACCCAAAGTACTACAACAAGGCGAATATGGATTCCTACAACTAAAATTAAAAATTGCATTATAACTTTGAATCAATGGCAACTGCCACTTCCTTCTAATCGGAAGTACTCACAAACCAGACAGCTCAAATCAGAGCTCATCCTTATTACATTACTTATGAACCAGGTTCAGTGGTAGAAGCAATGACATTCCTGAGCCATGATCATGGCTGGTGGTTGTGAAGGACACCTACTTAAGGAGCCCCACTTTTCAGGATCGATTCTCTGGTCGCTTCAACTGGAACCTACAGAAAAATCCAACAAGACCTAACCACTGAAGAGCTAAAAGCATGGAGCAAATGCGCACCAAGCTCTACTAAAGAATACAGTACTAAATGTCATCTCCTGAGCTCGCTGACTCATCATCGTCACTTCCGCTCTCGCTACTACTGCTACCACTACCACTGTCACTACTACTGCTACCACTTTCACTTGAACTCTTCTTTCCACCTGCAGCGGCTGCCTGTGTTGCAGCAGGATCCGACCCAGACTTTCCACCTCCATCACCTTCCTCGTCCTCGCTGAAGATCTCATAATCACTGTGCTCCTCGATAACTTCTACAATTTCTTCGTATTCGTCCCCAACTACATCAACCTCTTCAACCGGAGCAGCTGCTTGTTTAGTTTTCTTGGGTTCCGGTTCCAATTCCGGTTCTCTCTCTAGTTCAGGCTCTGGTTCTGGTTCATGAATCTCGAGTTCGTCTATGTCTATTTCAGGAGAGGCCTCCTTGACATCAACAGCAGAATTTCTCTTATTAAAAGCTCTGGAAGAGCTTCCTTTCTTCTTTGCAGGCTTCTTTTGGGCAGATGCTGCACAAAACCAACACCATATCACAGATTGAAGTCAATTTGATGGAAGTCTTTCAGCCACACAACTCAATGTCAAGGTATTGTAAGGAGTACTCAGACTCATCCATAGACCCGAAGTTTTGAATTGATCTTCTTAGCATGTTAAGAAACCTTTCAATTTACTGATGGTACTATCTGTTAGGTACCTAGAGCTACTTCAGGCTTGGGAGCAGGATCAGGTTCATCTGTGATAGTCTCTGTGACCTGCGTAGCAACAGACACGAGGAATGTCAAAATAGATGCTCATAAAGAAGTTGGATGACCTGTAGATTGATACAGCCACCTTATCGTTGATATTTTGCAGCACTGGGCTTCTCATACCTTCTTACAACCTTCATTCGTCCTTCCGTTTCATGAACTTCACTTAGATGATATTCGGTTACATAAAAAGCAGAGGCATTGAGCAAACTTGACACAAGTACATGCCGAAGTTCAAATTTAGAGACATTAGCTTGCAATATACGCTCCTACTATCTAATCCATAAGTAAACTCTAGATTCTGAGGAACTTTCTGGACAAACAAGTAGGCCACAAGATTGATTCCTTTTTGTCTCTCTTACACGCAAGCGCGATCGTTATGGACCCAATAATGAATCTCTTTTTGTTCACAGATGACTGTTCAGATCGGAGATTTATAAGAGCCAGACCCCTGTTCAAGGACATGTTTCTGAACCTAATGCATCAACCACGACATAACGTCATCCGGATCGACAAAATAAGAGAATGTGATTAACAGGACTGAACACTATACATGATGAGCTTTGAAGGCGTTCTTCTCTGCATTGTTATATCCCCCATTTGAATGGATGGGAGATACCGCTCCCGAACCGCCGCATCCAGCTAAAGCCGCAGCCGTCTCTCCCTGCCTGAGATGCCGAAGGCTTTTCACAGCTCTATGCAACCGCTCCAGCCGAAAATTTTGTCCATCGAAGAAGATGACAGCATCCATATCCTTGCAGTCCTCAATGTTCCCTTGGAAAGCTACTTTGGGCTTCCCAGCCTGGTTATTCGAAAATTCCACTGTGACCTTGTTCTCAACACCCTTGTGAAGTGTGCCGGGACTGCCTGTGTCAATTGAGGCCGGTTTGAATTCATCTGCAAGATGATGGATACGTAAAATAGACATTATTGATCAGCTTCAATTGGTGGCATTCGCGTAGCGAAATAGATCCAGCAATAATGCTCCATAGACAATGAGGATGACACTGTAGTCATCTGAGCCAAACCATGCTAATTAGTTGGCAATGGTGTCGACTGAACATTGAATCTTTTCAAGATGATAGCAGATGCTATAGATGCTACCTCTATGAACACAATTAATAGAAAAGAATGGGGCATCGAAAATGAGCACGCAGAGGAGAATCTTACATCTCAAAGAATAAAATCGAGTCGAAGTCGACTCCAATATGGTAGGCCCCAATATTAGAGGGAAATACGTGTCTGCCGGTGGGGCGGTGTCTGGCTCCACAGTCCTCGCCATCTCTAACCCCTAAAACCCTAGCCTTAACCTCCACAATTCGACCAATTCGACCAATTCGACCGTCCTTTAGACGCTACTACACGTCATCCACAATTCAAAACCGTTGCTGAGCATGTGATCATCTGATTTCAGTTGTTCCGTGTTCCCGGCTTCAATTAAAACTGGACACTTCTTCGACGACACACCCAAAACAAGACGAGTAAAGCAGTCAACCTTACCCAACCCCAGCTACTACTCTCGGGGCCCATTTCACGAACCAGCTAGTGGAAAATAAACATGAAAGAAACGATTCATGTACCGATCGCGAAATCAACAATGGAACGAATGGATCCCACTCACACCCACAGATCAATGCAAAGCTTGGAGTGAGCAGCGGGAAGAAGCAGGGAGCTCACGCTACAAAACCTGCTGCAGAGAAAGGAAATTTTGCAGAAGTGAGACGATTTCCACTGTAAAACATCAGCAACATGAGCATCGACTGATGCGAATTACTTCAGAGACTACAACTGAGCGAGGGATGAATGGCCTTCAGGGTGGACATCGTCGACTCATTGCTTTGAGTGCGAGGTTGTGCGCTGATTGAATGACTGATCCGCGAACAATTCCGGATACCGGCACTGTTAGGAATCCGCGGGTCGGGTCGGTAACCTGGCCCGTGATGGCGTGGATGGTGTGCTGTCCCGATACCACGTCAGCAAAGGATATCAATCGTGCTGACGGTTATCGATGCACACAATGTTCCTGCTTTTATGTGTGCAAATCCTCACAATTGAAGTGGACCATGATACCACTATTCATTACAAAAACTGTAACATGGATTATAAATTTCAAATCCTTGTCTTGGTACTTCTATTTTCATATATATATATATATATATATACATATACAAATGTTAAAATGACCCACCTACTTATTAAATTTATCCACTCTATCATAACCACAATTAGAGAAATGGATCATCTCTTTAAACCAACTTTACAATTATATCCCTCATCCCAACCTCCCTTGATTCCTACAATTGGGTGGGTTGATTTATTAAATGGGTAGGTCATTATAATATTTTCCTATTAATATATAATATTTATAAATAAGTTCACTATTTGAACATATTATATTTACTTATTTTCTTTCTTCAAAAGAATTTTTGGTTTTCAATATGATGTGTATATTTTGTAATTTTTTAATATGATATATATACACACACACACGCACACACATATACATATATATATATATATATATATATATAAAACCAACATATTGGATACCACAATTATTTTGATTTTTGTTTTAACTTTTTTAGTCTTTGAAATTATTATTATTATTATTATATTCTCTTATTTTTATTCTATGTAAGTAATTCTATGATTGGCTTTTATTTTTAGTTTGATTGTGATCAAACCTTTTTTGACATAATCTCTATTAACAAAGTTATCTTTTGTAGTGTTTTTCTATTATTATCCTATAAGAATGACAGTGAAATAATATTCCAATATAATTATGTACATATAAAAGCTTTACAAAAAATAAAAAAATAATTTTTTTTCTATTTTATTTTTATGTGAATGTAAAAAAATTAATATTTGATTTCTTTCAAAATAGATGCAATCTTCTATCAATTATTACAAATAAAATAAAATATTGTAGATATAATGATTATTTATCTTGATTAAAAAATTAATCATATACATATTTTATTTTAAAAAATTTAAAATAGAATGATAGATATTTGTTAATTGTACAAGTGAATTTTTATATGTTGGATTTTAGTCAAAGAAATTTAATAATTTGTATTTTTATTTACTATATTTTATTATAATATTTTGAAACTAATGAATGATTCTTAATAACTTTGTTTGATTTTAGGATTAAAAAAAATCTTTAAAAAATAAAAATTTAGGCATTAGGATTAATGTTACTAAATTTTAATATTACAACCATGGTTTAAATATCTTTTTAGAAAATTCTCTGCTAAATTTATCTAAACATGGTTATATTTGATATTCAAAAGGTTTTGCTTGATCTTGCTGATATGAAGGAGAAGAACCTTTTGAATTATAATATAATTCAAAACATTTAGATAAGTCATTAGACTTGTGAAAAGTCTTAGAAGTAAAGTTGAGAGTGTTTTTGAGAGTAAGAATACTAATTTGTTCACAAAGAAGGATTATGATTCTAAGGCATCAATACTTTCTTACTGATTTTGAGAGCATTAGGACTTCTTCTTTCAATATTTTTTGATATATCGCTTCCTTAGACATGGCTTCAAGTGAGGATGAAGGATTGAGAGTAATTGAGAAGTTTTGAGGTAGAAATTTCTACCATTGGAAGGTAAAAATGGAGCTTTTGTTGGCATCTTTGGATCTTTGAGATATTCTAGATGAAAGTGAAGAGGCTCCAAGCATAGATGTTGATATGAAGGAGAAGAAGGAGTTCAAACATCATGAAAAGAAGGCTTTTGGATTAATTATAATCAATGTGGATGAAGCCAACTTCTCCCACATTATCTATTATAAAAAACTAGCAGAAGCATGGAAAACTCTTTGTAACATTTATGAGAGCAAGAACTTATCTAACATCATCTATTGTCGAGGATAAGAACTCGATGAAAAAAGTAATTGAGACAAGTGAGCCTTCACTCAGAGAAAGCTAACAAAATATAAATAACCAAGTATGTATATTGAAAGAGAAACTAGAATGGCTATTGCCAAAAGACAAGAAAACTAGAGACCCTTGAAACTAGTCTGGAAGCAAGAAAAGAGTTGACAAGAGTGAAGAAGCCTTCACTCTTGTCTCTATATATACTATTTAACTAGGGGCTACGTGGTAACATTCTATAGGACCTCCAATATGTGTTGACTTTGTAGGACACATGCCTTGACTTATAAGGCAAGTTCTTCTACGTGTGGGCCACATAGTTAGCTTGATCTTCAAGCTAACAACATGTGTGGCACATGGCCAACTTGTTGACCATGTTTCTATTCCAAAAAGTCAATTAAAGACACCTATGAAGTCAAAGCAGCGTCTATGAAGCTTCTAAGAAGCTTCCATATTAAATACTATAGAATTAACTTATTTTTACCTACTTTTACTTACTTCCACCTATTTTTATATGTAATTACTAGCTTACATGAGTATATCCGTGACATTACCCTCCTTTCGAAGGATGAGTTCCACGAGGAGCGGTCATCATATGTTGAGAAAATCTATGATGTGACGAATTGTATTCGCCACATACTCTGATCTTTGTTCTCTTCGAAGATGATTGATAGGGCCTCTCAACCATCGATAGTGTCCCATACCAGGGCAAGAAGACCACCTAATTATTTGATAATTATTGAGGCCTTCATAACTTCCTTCGAATAGAACATTTGGAACACCATCAAGAATTGTTCCTATCTCTAGCAAAATGACCAAACATCGGGAATCCCTTCCCAAATCGTGATACCAAATGCATTGTAACTTGCCATCTATTCGAGGAAGAACATGTCGTTCTTGAAGATCTTCATCTTTATTGCATCGTCTTGAAGGTTGTGACAATCGTAATATCTTGTCTGGCAAGTTAGCAAATGAAGGCTCTTGAGTCAAATCCGTTGGTTGTTGGTTCTCCATCTCTTGAGTATCACAACTACAAAGAAGCTACAAACAATGATTGAAAGTAGAATGTTATCTTGCCTAGATGTTGTTTCTTTTATAAAGAAGGTTTTTATCTTGATTTTGATGGATGTCATTGATGAAAAGCCTCCACTGTCTTTGCTGAATTTGCAAGATTCTTTATTGGCTCCCATGTGCGTTCACTAATATCATATCTCGCCAATGGATAAGATATTCCAATTTATTTTGACGCCGCCTTGAATCTAAGACTTCTTCTACTTCAAACTCTTCATTATTGTTTACTTCTATAGGAGGAGGTGGAGCTTGTCGTCTTCTTAGTATGTCCATTGTCTTGTATGGTTCAAGAAGAGATACGTGGAATACTTGATGGATTTTCATTGACTCCGGTGTCGTGTTGTAACATGAGTATACAGTGAAAATAAAAAGAAAGAGGAATTTTATTAATATTCAGTTACCTCGAATATTGGGAGCATCAACCAACTCCAGTACAAATACTGAGTGGTCAGGTTCAGTCACTCCGTTACAATCAGCTGGGGCATACTGAAATGCTCCATTCGATTCCAATAATGGGAGTCAGCAGGAAGAGAAGGACCAATTCACACGACGGGTTCGAGGAGCCAATTGGATCCAATTTCGATAATCCAATCCGGGTCCTCTTATCCAATATGAGACCTGAATTGGCCGGTCAACCCAATGCAGTCTAATTACGAGAAATCCAGGTCTTACTACGGGTCTTAGCCAATCTGACGTGAGGACCAATTTGACCCAATTACGGGAACATCCAGGTTACTACGGGCATCTTTCCCAATATAGGACCTGAATTGGTCGGGCGACTCAATGTGGTCCCGTTTACGGGGTGCGATTCTGTTTCAGGCTGTCCTATTCTCTGTGTCGTTTCAGGAAACATTGTTTACGGTAAATGGATCTCTTAAAGGTAAAAACGGAGGAGAAGGCCTTGATGACGTGAGCCAATTTCAGATCTAAGCTCTGACGGCGGGAGCCAATTCCGGATCTAAGATGGAAGATTGAAGAAATTCAGAGGATAAGGTTAGGGGAGAATATAGTTTTAGGGGGGAAGGTTTTTTTTCGGGAGGAATCGGGGGGGGAGCGAGTTTTCAAGCTTTTGCAAGGTTACCAGTTCGGTTTTTCATTGGAGATTTTTGGAAGATCAGGGGAATTAGAGAGAGGAGCTTCATGCTTCGGGTCGGGGAAGGAAAGACATAGAATTTGGATTTTTCTTCTTCGTAGAGTTTTGAGACGACTGAGGCAATTGCTGCTGAAGTCAGTGTTGTAATGGTGAATCGGGATTTTTAAATGAAGTGGGTTTGAATACTCTTGACTGTTTTGTAAAATCGAGTTACGTCTGTGATTGAAGGATTAAAGGGGTGTCTATAGGATTGAGTATGCAGAGTGAATGAAATTTATTGGGTTAATCTAACAGGACAGTCAGTGGATACAAGATCGTAAGTACAAAAGGGTATTGAAGATTAACAGTTTGGGATGTTCGGGGTTCTCTGTAACGTCTAGAGACCTATCGGCTGGGAAAAAAAAAAAAAAAGACTTCGACAAGCAGTCGAAGAGCATCCGTATAGATTTACGGTACATTGTTGCAGTCGTTTATATTCCAGCAGTCAAAAACTGATAGACTGCTTGACTATCGGCAAATCTCCATACTACCTTCTACAGCCAGACGCCCGGCGCATTCTCGAGCAGGAAAGCACGTAATACGACACCGGTAGATGTAAACGATATGCAATTGGATTGATTTGTGTAAAAATAGAAAATGGTCCAATCCTTTGATAGTCCAACTTGTCACAAGGACGAGTAGTCTTGATATTACGACGAAGTAGCCAAAGCTTATCACCCAAGAAGAATGGTGGTTGTTCCTTTCGATAGACATCTGTATTGACCTTTTGTTATTCTTAAGCCTCTTTTAACTACACCTTCATCGTTGTATATAGCTCTAAT